ATATTAATAAATAGCAACATACTATTGGTCCATTTCTATATACCGAAAATCACATGATTTTTTCTTTTTTCCGGTATATGCACATATACCGGAATCTCGTTATACCGGACGCTAAGAGCTGGACCAAAACGTCCGGTATAAACAGGTTTGACTGTATTAAAAAAGTGCCGCGATGGAAAACCAAAATAACTATCGATATAAACGTTGCTACTGTTGTGAAAAATTTTCTCAAAAACTGTTGAAATTCATGGACTACCAAGTCCTGGTAGAAACGTCAATCGCATTACTCAATCGCAAACACTTTTGCCAGCTGAAACGAGTTACAAGTCAGTCTATCGTGATTTTATTGCAGGTCTCGAAAATGATAGCACATTGAAATTGTTAAAATATGATGCGTTTCGCAAGTTATGATGCCACCAATTAACGCCTTATATTCAAATTATGAGTCCAAGAACGGATTTAAGTGACACGCGCCAATATTTTCGGAACGGCTTACAGTATAATGCTCGTAAGGAAGAAGCGAAAGATTTACTAAAAAAGTACCAAGAACATTTAGTTAAGGATAAATTAGAGAGAAACTATTACAACAAAAATACGAAATTAGCAAAACAATAAAGGAAATTGGTAGATGATAATTACGCTGTAACAGGAAGTAAAGCCGGTTATTGTAACGTTGATGCTACTTAAAATGTAAACCAAGTATTAGTATATTTTGTGCTACTAAATGATTGGATTATCAAATAATACCAAACTGTTGGTAATTAAATGTATCATTTAATTATCATAAACGAAATCCCGCATTTTTAAGAATCTGCACTTTAAATAAGTGTATTTTAATACAGAAGATCTGTATTTAAAATACAGACTTTTGACGACTCTGGCGCTACCATATTTTACTGCTTTTATTTCGATCTTCACATAAAGTGGTCATTGTTTCTGGCTTTTTGTCTTCTTCCCATTCGTATGGCCAAAGTTCGATCTAATATATCTGAACGACAAAAAATAAATTTGTTACAGAATCGATGTCAGTACCCACAACTGACAATGACTCCAATGCAGTTGACTTTCTCAACCTGTATAATCAAGTAATTAACGATTGTTCATGCGGTTATTAGAGCCTATTATAATTTTGTACGGAATCTTAAAAAACGTCTCGAGTATCATACAGAAGTATTTTATTTTTTCGATACAACTACACATTCATGTTAAAGCCAATATTTGATGTTCGATTATTATAAACATAATTCCATAAATCGGAATTCAAAGATCGAAATATGTCCATATCAACGACGCTTTTTTTGATTCTTTTTCTTGCCTTCTTTCTTATCTTTTACAAGGCGAGAATTGCATTCTTCCGATTCTAGAAAAAAGAAATTAGCTATATTAAGATAAGAACAAACCAAAATACATGTGATGTACCATCAAATTCCCATACAGTTCTGTCTCCTGATACCATCCATGCTGCTTCTTCACAAGACTTCTCTGATACTGCTTTGAAAAATTTCCCGAAAAACAGTAATAGACCATTCATAGAGTCCCATCTAAACACACGTTCATAACAATCTAGGAAAAGTAGACCACAGTCACATGTCCAATAACAATTATATGGTTAAACCCGCATAGTGCAATTTCCTTTACATAATGTACGATATGATCTTTTCGAAGATCACAGTTCTGTATCTGTATATCAAGAGAGGTTGCAATACGGTAACGGTCCGACTCATTCGCGATCATTTCGACTACCACGGACGGATTATTGCCATATGAGTCGAATCTATCACGGTTTGACACTGAAGGCATGGAGCAATTGCATTTCCATTTAGGCGTACTGTCCGGGAGTACAAAGTAGCACGGCGATTTCGGGTAGTTTTCTTCCTATGAAGAGCCCACCATGGTACCGACTCTGAGCAATGGCCCCAGGAATTCTTGCAACCCTTCATTTTTCCCTCGGTTTGGACATTTGAAAACATCGATTTCATCGTTTTTACTCTCCTCTTTGCTGGCCCCTTGTTCATTTCGAATAACTGTCTCCTCTCTTCTTTCGTCGTTCCCCACTCGTCACGAATTGATGCTCCGAAAAGATAATGTTGTTCCTCCGAGTGGAAAATGTTAAATTTATCGTGGCTGGTTGAGCGAACGGATTCTCCTCCATTTCCGTTATCTTGACCACAAGTATCGATAACACGTTCACTAGATGTGCAGCTTGGTTTTCGAATTTCTTTCTTGGAGGCTTTACTTTGTAATTGCATTTCACTTTTGGAGGTCGACTTATACTGTACGTCCAAAGCAGGGCTACTGCATCCCACACAGTGTTTATAAGAATCGGACGACTGGATAGTGGTGGATTCGTTTATTATTATGGTAATTAAATGATACATTTAATTCCCAACAGTTTGGTATTATTTGATACTTTTCATCCAATCATTTAGTAGTACAAAAATAAACGCCCAATGACGCACACAATCCGGTTATCCGGGTTGACTTCGCGTGTTTGGATAGATAAGCCCAATTTGTGTGTGCGTGCGTGGTGTTTTTTTTAAAAGCTCAACTATCAGTGTGGAAAGGACGCACTCAAGTCTGGGCGAGTCTGTGAACCGATACCGAAACAGCGTTTTTATGGAATCAGAACGAGCCTGCTGGTTTGAGTTGCAAGGAATTACTTTTGAGGTTATCGTTTATTTGTGCAAGGATTTGGTGTTGTTTTATACAGGAAAATAATCACATAATGAATGATGTCATCGTTGTATTTTTAAAAGCGGACAGGATCCCTTTATTCCTCAATACAAAATGATTGTACAATGTAGCTGCATCGGTATCATTATGCTAACACTCTTTATCGTCAATATAGCAATTGCCAAATAACAGTGGCAGTACAGAGTGTTTATCATGCGTCTTGCAGCTTCAAAGTAAGCGGACAAGACTCTGCTAAGAAAATAGATTTATCATCAATGTATCATTATCGTCATTGTACGTGTATTCAGTAGTCCGTCGACCAATAGCTTATTCACAACAGGTTGCTATAATCTCGTAAACCGGTATGCTAGAGAAACAAAGGATGACGCAAATGATATATATTTTTTGACTTGCCAATATATGTGACATTTCGTAATCTTGCAGCAATGGTATTCGAATTTTTTAACTTTTAATAATGTTATCAGTGAACTTCGATATCGACATCTATCTAGCTAAAATCCAAAGCACCTAACATTGAAAAAGTTAAGCGGAATCTTATCGGTTGTGAAATTGATAAAGATATTTGACTTTTATCAATTGTCAATATGTTTCCACCTTGAATAAACTGGATTATAATTGTACAATGAAGTAGAGGGAGGTACCATAAACAGTATTTGCAGACACTCTTATTCAGTGATATGGCCAGCTTCGAGGATGTAATAATTTTTCAGCTTTCTAATGTATGACGTAATAATAAACATAAAATCACGATTAGACTTTCAAAAACTAATTTTAATGGATACGTTTTTTTTATCAGTGATGTGTCGGAATAGAAAGTTTGCACGTAAAAGTTACATCATATTTCGTAATCATGACATGATACCACGTTCAAATTTACGCGCCAATTTATCTTGGAAATTTGTTAGTTTTAGAAACATTAACGAATCAAATAATGTATTCAATTAAGATTTGCAATCTAAAATGTTATAGAATTGCTTTACGGATGTGGTTACATATACAGAAGCGAGAAAATTTAGGGAGTAAATACTGTTGGGTTGCTAGAACTATATTAATATTCGCCATTTCCAGAATCAGTATTATGTACGAAGATTCCCATTCGTTTATTGTTCTATGTGAATTCGTTATTCCTACTCTTCATATATATATATTATAAAGTTAACAATGTCGTTATTGACCGGGAGGGGAATTTGGAGAGATGTTCGTTAGATTGTTGAGGAGTTACACAACTCCGCCGTCGCTCTTTCCTTGAACTCTTCCAAAGAATTTTTTCTATTTTGCCTAATATTATCTCGTGCTAATTTTATCGTCACAGCCTTTTGGTTGTCAAGCTCGATACGGTCGGTTACGTCATGCTTGTCTCAAATTTTAATTCTCTACACGACGTTGATAAAATTAAATAATAAGTAAGGCTACTATGACAATGTGTATTAATAAAGTGTCACTAAGAATCGTTAAACATATTATAATTATTCAAATTGCTCAATAACAACATACTAAACCTATTAATTAATTATTACATGTAGAAAATAAATTCATAAGAATGAAAGGTTATTTATTAAACAAGATAAAACCTACAACTTTTTAAAGACATTTCACATTTTTTTTTATCAATATACACACAATAATTGTATCGATTCATAAATCATGTATTCGTTTCCTTAAAGCATAAAACAAACAAAGCTATCTCAAAAACTGGAAATTCAAATTTTGTCAATATCTACCAAATAAACGACACTGGTTTTAACTAGAGACAACGAGAAAGCTTTCTGTAAACTCAACCGAACCGTACCGTATCATATTACCGGAAAATTTGCACCATCGGAAGACAGCGTCACGCCATTAACCTCGTAATGACAACCAGTAACCATTTAATATTAAAGCAGATAATATTTTAATTGGCCAACCGCTTGTATTGGAGACAGACTTGAAAATACAAGCAAAACCATAGTTAGTAATACAAGTGCAAAACGTTTGTTGTAAGTCCGATCCATGATCTTTAAACCGTTTTTGAAACGTTTTGGAAAATATCCCACCGCTTTTATTGACGTTAAATATATTGCGAGATTTTAGAATTTTAGTTCATAAACGCAAAGCAGAAAAGAAAACAGTTACTTTAGTTCCTTGGCTAGTAAAACGCAAATCGCTGCTGTAAAGACATTATCCTCCGTACAACTACTAAAAACAGCACGAAAAGCAAACTAACCCAAAAAAAACAAACTGAAATTGCCAAAGCGTTCCTCGCAAATTACTGACAGTTTTTGATAACTCGGATAAATAAAACAATAAACACACGACCAGAAATAATAAATACAAACTTTCCCATACTAATACTATGTTTTAAAATAAAAATACAAAATTGTTTATAGAACAATACAATTAAAGAAAAAGTTACTCAACAGTGACATTAATATGCATACCTGATCTTTCTCTTACTATTTGCAATCTCTATACACAATATTCTGCGGTTATATCTTTTTTATAGTAATCATATTTCTGCGTTTACGTCATCTTTATATAGTAAATAATGTTATCAATTTTCTAACTCCACATAATAATAAGAAAGTAATGTTCTCACATTAATAGATTACATTTTCCCAATAAGGGTATCGTAAATGGTTAATCCGCTATCGCTATACGTTAGCTTATCGACTTATTTATTATTGTAACATGTGATCGCCGTATTTGTGTAACAACCGTGTGTAAAATACACAATTAACAACATCTAATATCAATAGCGAAAGACATTTTTTATTTTTACTTGACAGAACGCTAATTATAATGTAAACGTAAAACACACTGCGGGAAAATTGCAAATTGTTTTTATCGATAAAGAAACCACATATAAACACGACTAAATTACTTTTATTCAACGTTCAATTAACAATAAAAAATAATCCCACAATATCAATACTTTTGTTTAATTAACTTTCTTAAGTAAAAACCAATATAATCAAACACAACACGGTAATAGTAATAAACCTTTTTACCCGTGCAAAAAGAATAAATAAAAACGCTCAAGTAGCATTTTACGTACATAACGCGTTACGCCCAATTCAATAGTCAAACATTACTTTATACTGACAGTCAAAGAGCTTCTCAAAGCAATTTTCTTATAAAGCTTCTTTGCTTTAACCGTATATAAATCATGAGGACAAGAAATTTCCGCATACGCATATGGAATCAGGTCCAAATACAATTGCTCCACAAAGACGCATTTGTTACTGATCCAGAAATTGTTCATAAATTTGAGCGGTTAGAATACATGACATTAGACTTATGCCTAATATTATAAACTGAACGCTAATATTTAATTTCATTTTACATAATAGATTTCTTTATTTCTTGTTGTATGTCGGTTTGGAATTTATGTCCATTCGGAATAGACATATGTCGGATGGGAATTTGTGTCCATTTGGAATGAACATATGCCGGATTGGAATTTATGTCCATTCGAATGAACATGTATGTCAGATTGGAATCATAAAGACAATCAGGTAACAGCATTATAAAATTATTTTATTAACATTACAATATTAACTCGACTGCATATAAACATGTTATGATACAAAGAACTATGTACTAAGACTATGAGGGTGGCAGTTTAAGTTACAAATGACAGCAGCTTTGCGACAAGCACATCGAGCCGTTGAA